TCAAAAAGTTGAAGAGAAACTATCTACCCTTGACCGCATGTAAATGTGCATAGCTCCATTGTCTTTTAGCTGGGGATCTAGTCCTCTATCTATATCTATTTGCCTTTCTGTCTCCATCTAACTTGGATGTCTAGCCTGCCAATTGCCATAGCATCTAGCTGCCACATTAATAAAGCTGATCGAAGTCCTGCTCTTTTAAAAAACAACCCAAAATTTCAGCTCAATTCGTCTGCCACGTTATTGGCTCTGGTGATTGGGTTTTACGCAGTGGCTTCGAGAAAGAGAGAGAGAGAGAGAAAAAGACAAAAAGAAAGTGTGTAGGGTTGAATGCTGATGTGGGGGGTGGCTATAAGAACTTAAGGAACAGAAATTTGATACTAGAGTGGTCTTCAATCTAGCAGACAGAGGTATAACAAGCTCCAATGGCTGGAAGTTGAGCTCAGCAAACTCAGAATGGAAGTATTTAACAGTGAGGGTAATTAACCACTGGAACAATTTGCCAAGGAGTGTGGCAGTGTGGTGAATTCTCTAACCCTGGCAATTTTAAAACAAAGATTGGATGTTCTTCTGAAACAGAATGTTCGTCGGCAACCTTTCAGAAGTGGTGTGCCGAGGCTTCATTTATTCACTCTAATTTAAGGTTTCGCGTGCCAGCAATACATTTTAACATTTTTAGAAGGTCTCTTTCTATAAGTCTATAATATATAACTCAACTATTATTGTATGTAAAGTAAATAAGGTTTTTAAAATGTTTAAGAAGCTTCATTTAAAATTAAATTAAAATGCAGAGCCTACCGGTCCGGTGGCCAGGACCCGGGCAGTGTGAGTGCCACTGAAAATCAGCTCGCGTGCCACCTTTGGCACGCGTGCCATAGGTTGCCTACCCCTGTTTTACACTCTAGTTCAAAGAGAAATTAACTCAGGGAAGTTCTCTGGCCCATGTTATACAGGAGGCCAGACTAGATGATCACAATGGTCACCTTCAGGTCTTAGAGTCCGATTCAGCAAGGTGCTTGAGCATATGTGTAACCCACACACCCCCTGGGTGTGGTGTTTTGTTCCATCTGGTGGCACCGAGACACGAGCGAGAGAGCGAGAGAGATCTCTCAAATGAGTCTACTCTACAGCCTTAGCTAACAGCCAGCTGGTTTTTAGCTCATGCGGTAGAGGGTCATGCACTAAGCTCTAGAGGTCCCCGGTTCAATCTTGCCCACCGACGACTGGGGTCTGTTGGTGTTACATATGCACATCTTCAGACATGTGACTGTCACCACTGAGACAACTCAGAGGCTTAAAATTACATGCATGCTTAAATAACTTGAAAAATGAGGGCCTAGGAGAAAAATGCATGTTTATTTGCAGCTTCTAAAGGAACTAGAATTTGAGTAGCTTAGGCAATAAGTTGTGGGTATACACAGCCATTGTTCATAGATTTCAGGGCCAGAAGGGACCACTGTGGTCACCTGTTCTGACCTCCTGTATAACACAGCCCATAGGATTCCCCTCCCCTCAAGTAATTTCTAGATCAGATCTTTAGATTTCTTCACTGAACCCAACGCCACTGAAGAAAGCAAGCCGTCCGCAGTGCTAGTTCTTCCTCTGGGAAACCCAGCTGAGAATCCCTGGACAGTAAAGCCCGCTACTAAAGGTCAAGCCTCCTGTTTCTATGCGTGCCAGGAGAGTTCATCACCGTTCTGTTTAGTGACGTGCTTAATTGCTTGGGCCGGCTGGCAAGGAAGAAACATTTGTAAAGCTTTTCATGATTGAATCTCCTTCACGCAGGACAAAGGGTCTACGCTCCTTTACACAAGCGCTGCAAGCCATGGTCAATTTAGCCTGCTACATTTACTTATGACAACAAGCCTTGTTTGCCAAGTCATGAGTGCACTGGGGTGCGTCGAGCTGGGAATACTTTTCTCTTCCCCGCCCTCCAAAATTCTTTTAACCTTAGCAACGGCGATTGTCACGCGGGGAAAAGACCAACAAACCAGCGCCCCGGCAGCTTAGCGACAACACACATGGAAAGCCATTTGCCTCTCGCCGCTGGTTTTCTTAACTTTCTGCTTCGACTAGATGAGAAGCTTTGCAACTTGGTTAATGCTGTAATTGTGAGGTTTCCCACTGTTGGCTAAATAACCAACACAACCCCATTGCAGCAAACCAAAGGGGCTTTTAAAAAATGACATACGCACCTAAAGGGTCATTCATGCTTCTTGCAGCATTTGGATTTGTTTATGCCGGGGCTAGTGGGCCCTAAAGATTTCTTGTTTTCATGGGTGTCACTTTAGTAATCCCTGGGGATTGAACCTTCAGAGCTAGGATCTACACTTGAGTAGGGTGACCAGATGTCCCGTTTTTAAAGGGACAGTCCGGTTTTTGGGGACTTTTTCTTATATGGGCGCCTATAACCCCACCCCCATCCCGTTTTTTCATAGTTGCTATCTGGTCACCCTAATCTTGAGACATAGGACTAAGGCCCAGAGCCCTCAAGGTATTTAGGCACCTAAATGCCATTGAAATCAACAGGAATTAGGCATCTAATTACTTTTGAGGATTGGGGCCTAATTCCGACTCAGGTAACGTGCTGAACAGTGAGTTGCCTGGGAGTCGGGTCTGCTGACTACAGGGCTTTGGAGGGGCCGATTTTCAATATAATTTACTTTAAAACAGGAATTAAAAATAGTTTTTTTTCCACTTTTTTCCCCACGAATCAGAGTTTACAACTGGGTGAACAGTGGGAAAATACATTCACCAAATCCAAATCCCCCCGTCCATCCAATAGTACTTGTGCCCCTTTTGATCTGATTCTCCACAAGTGCTCAGGTGGTCATAGGAACGTTTGGAAAGAAGTTTTTATCTGTGCGAGTGGGGTGGGTATTTGTGTGTGAACTTTCTTGCCGGGGGTTGCACAAGAAGTGGTGGCAGGATGGGTGCAGAATTTGCAACAGGAAGGGGCAGTCCAGTACAGCAGGAAGAGTTATGCGCCACGTGTCTTTATAATATTGGTGGAGCATCCAGCCATTCACTTGGTTGTGCTGAGCATTGAATTTACTCTGAAAAAACACTGCTGGGGATAAACCACCCAACAGCAACAGCCAAGGGATTCATAGAATCATAGAATCACAGAATATCTGGGTTGGAAGGAACCTCACGGGGGTCATCTAGTCCAACCCCCTGCTCAAAGCAGGACCAATTCCCAACTGAATCATCCCAGCCAGGGCTTTGTCAAGCCTGACCTTAAAAACCTCTAAGGAAGGAGATTCCACCACCTCCCTAGGTAACCCATTCCAGTGCTTCACCACCCTCCTAGTGAAATAGTTTTTCCTAATATCCAACCTAGACCTCCCCTACTGCAACTTGAGACCATTACTCCTTGTTCTGTCATCTGGTACCACTGAGAACAGTCTAGATCCATCCTCTTTGGAACCCCCTTTCAGGTAGTTGAAAGCAGCTATCAAATCCCCCCTCATTCTTCTCTTCTGCAGACTAAACAATCCCAGTTCCCTCAGCCTCTCCTCATAAGTCATGTGCTCCAGCCCCCTAATCCTTTTTGTTGCCCTCCGCTGGACTCCCTCCAACCTTTCAACATCCCTCTTGTAGTGTGGGGACCAAAACTGGACACAGTACTCCAGATGAGGCCTTACCAATGTCGAATAGAGGGGAATGATCACATCCCTCGATCTGCTGGCAATGCCCCTACTTATACAGCCCAAAATGCCATTAGCCTTCTTGGCAACAAGGGCACACTGTTGACTCATATCCAGCTTCTCGTCCGCTGAAACCCCTAGGTCCTTTTCTGCAGAACTCCTTCCTAGTCATTCGGTCCCTAGTCTGTAAGAGTGAATGGGATTCAGTGAATTGCGGTGAAAAGTCGCACTAGCAGGTGGAATGGTCTTCTCTCTTGGTCCATTCACATTTGTAAAGGGGCCGAGCTAAGAGCTCAGCAGGCTAACGTCCTTCCGTTAGCTACAGAACGGTTATTGGAGGGGTAGCTGTGGTGGAAGCTTTCCCCCAACGGGCCTCAGTCATGACCTAGAGGGAACCCTCCTAGGGGTGAGAGGTTCGTTCAAGCTCCATGGCTCATTGACTTCTTGGCTTCTTTTCCAATTAACCTTGGCAGCTATTTGTGACACAAGGCTCTGGCCAGTTATTTATTACTGTTGATATATCACTCTAATCATTCACGGTGCTTTACAATAAACCCCCAACCCTGAAGAGCCTGGAGTGCAGAGGCAGAAATGGGTAACAACCCAGAGAACAAACAGACAGCACCGCGTGGTCATGACATCCGTAATGCGTCATGGAACAGATGGGTCTCAGGGTGGTCTGGGAGGAAGCTTGCTCGGCAAATATTAATTGGGAGGCTGTTCCAAGCATGAAGGGGACTGTGTGAAAGAAGGCATGGAGCTAGGTTGGACAATGGAAGCAGTGGGGGGTGGAACAGGACAAGAGTTCATTTTCATGGTCACAGAGTCAGAGAGTTTAAGGCCAGAAGGGACCCCTAGATTTATATCACAGGTCACCAACACCACACAGCAACCACACGCTAAACCCAACAATGGAAATGAGACCAAAGGAAATGAGACCTACAGAAGACTAGACTATTAAGTGCCACAGGCGGAGAATAGGAGGTGCTTTCCTCTGCTCCGGGGAGGTTGGCCAGTAAACTATTTTTCAGTAGCCTGATTTTGCAAAGTATAGAAAATTCCAAACTCTTCTCATCATTTATCACCCCTGTTTCATCATCGCAGCGGAGAGACCCAGGCACTGACAATTAAAAAGTAACATCTGCTGAGTGAAGAATTTCTGCTGCGACCTCTTCCTCAACGTTAGGCTGAAGCCGGCAGGTTTTTGCTTCCTTTCCAATACAGCGCGATAACAACTAAAAGCTTCCCCCAGTATTTCCCTGCCTGCCTTTCTGTGTTCATTATTTTGTTCCCCGCTTAAGGGAGCCGAACCAAACCAGCCGAACCAAACATCAACTGGTCGCTGCTACTTACTGAACTCGTAGAGCAGTGGTCAGACTCGCCGCTCTCAAAGAGGATGACGTCCTTTATGAAGACTGCAATGGCTCTCATGATGAAAGACATGAAGAGATGCATGTGGATGTAATTTCGAGTGCAGTGCAGTTTTCTGTTGTGGGGCGGGAGAGAAAGAGAAATAGCATTTTTAAACATCAGGACTTCATCTCAATACATTACTCTTCTGGCCGGACTGTGTTGGGAAAAACTTCTGCTTTATCCAGAATATTTTCTGATTTCAGTGTTTTGCCAAAAAGTTGACAGCTCTAGCCAAAATTCATAAATATTTGCATACTTTATACAGCGACGTGGATTATATTTTAACTTTAAAAGATATAAGTTAGGGGAACTGACATTAAGAGCATCACTGGGTTTATTCCATCCCATAGGCTTTAGCAGATTATGAAGATCTATCTGGATCAAGGAACTCTGGGGTTTTCAAGTGACACTTCCCAGCAATTAAAAGCAACAGGCCTAATATCCTGGAGATGGTCAAGTTTTACAGCCCTAAACAACATAATGGGTCTGATTCTCAGTTAGTCTGTTCCTGCGCTGGGGACAGGGATGAAGTGAGTGTGGGGCAAAGGTGGTTCTCTGTATACTGGAGCCATGAAGGTATCTGTCCAGCCCAGGTGTAAGTTACATCAGCCTCGGGGCTGCTCTAATTTATGCTCTGCTTCTTACAGCTCCTTGTAGGCTCTAGCGCAGTGCGGTGTGGCCGCATCCACAATCCACCCCCAAAGCAGGGGGCTGGGAGCAGAGGTGGTGTAGAGCCCCGTACCAGTTCTGTGCTTGTCAGGGAGGCATTGTGAGTGGCGGTACTCTCCGGGGGCTGTTTCCGCTTGCTTTAACGTCCCTTTGTGCTGCCACAGTTGCATAAACAGGTCTTAGTTTAACTAAGAACCAGGCCTAATCAGCCAACCTTAAACAACCCTCTTAAGGAACATCTCTTAAGATCAGATGGCTGGCTGCAGGGCATACCTTGCCATACACTTCTGTCATATACTTGTCTTCTAGTTCTGCGCAAGGTCAACTGGAGTCAATGGACAGACTACTCTGGAGCATTAAAATATCTCATTCCATACAAGGAGTCTCTTAGCTTGTGGAATACTCTCCCTAGGGAAATGGTGGAAGCCCCGTTGCTTGGTACAAGATTGGGGAAAAGCATTAGAACTAGATACCCTTCTGCATTGGCTTTAGGGGATGGACTAGAGAATCTAGCAAGTCTTTTCCATCTCCAGGTTGTTTGGTTCTCCGCTACTCTCTCCATTCCGTAAAAGCATGGCGGACATCACAAGCCTCTAAGATCTCTGCCCATTTTCCTAAGGGAAACAGCTGCAAATCAGAGACCAATACTGGCCCTCGGGCTTCCAAAAGCAGCCCCAGCCTCGAGTCATCCACGGTCGGCATATTGCACCATCACCATAATATTGTATGGCTGCTCTATATCCAGCGCTTAAAGGAGGTCAGAAAACGCTGGAGGACAGCTCTGCCTGTTTCTAAGGCACAGGTGGCACTCTGCTTAACTGAGCTATGTGGAGCACAGGACACCCCAAAATGTGTGACCGCGTCCTTCTTGGAGCTACTTCAACCATATTTGTCCCTCCACTGCCACCAGCCGCCTCGCTCTTGAAAGGGGTTGCTGGGCGTTCCAAATGCAAGGCACTCTCAGCCTGTAGCCAAGAATCTGCTGAGGTCCTTGGAATTAAACAATCTGTTTCCCCACCCCTACACGTTCCCTTCCCCTCCACGCCCAGGTTCTCACCTGAAGAGGCACAAAATGATCATAGCAGCAGTGAGAGCAATGAGAGATAAACTATGTCCAATGGTGTAACCGGTCTTCACTGTGCCATAGAACGTCGTCTGCCAATATAGAGAAAAGAGGCAATGATTAGGTCTTTGAGGAGCCATCAAAGATTCCTCCTTAATAAACACTTCATACAATATCACTCACTAATTCCTAGCTCACCATGGTAAAAACACCCTTTTCAGGTGTAAAATGGCAGAAGGCATGATCTAAAACCCATTGAAGCAAATGGAAACAATCCCATTGATCCCAAGAGGTCTTGGATCAGGTCCTAATTATGCAGTGATTTTACAAGGAAAAGGGCCCTACAGGGTGCAGTGTTATTTATTTAACCATAGAAGTGGCTACACGGTGATATTCATGCAGAAGAGGAAGGCTTTACACTCAGTAATACAGGGCATTGGCAGCAGATCACTTTGGTTTATCCACTAACACAGGGTGTGAGATGGTTTCATTTAATCAATGCAGACTGGGGATAGAGCTGGGATGAAAATGGGTTTTATTTCTACAGAAAAAAATGACTTTGGGGCAAAAAATAAAAACCCAGAATATGTTGGCCGAAAACACAAATATTTTGATTCAGAAATGCTTGTGTAGTGCTTCATGGGAGTTGTAGTTTGGTTGCTTCATGTTTCCATTCTCCTCTATAGGCTGGGCTCCCCAATTGGACTACATGTTCCATGATGCACCACAGTCTCCCCTCCTGGAGAGGGGAGGTGGCACATCCTGGGAGTCTCTGAGCCTGGTGCATAATGGAAGACGTAGTCCAGGTGAGGAGGTGTGTCGGCATTCTCGCCCCCAACTCTACAGATCGGGAAACCAAGACAGAGTTAACATGATCTATCCCAGGCCACAGAGGGAATTGGGAATTTGGCTGAGTCCTGTGCTTGTGTCACTAAACCATTACTCAGACTAAAAGAGAAAGGGATTATGTTCTGTTAATGAAAGCTAGGGATTGCACATCAGGACTCCTGGGTTCTGACTCTAGCTCTGCCATTGACTCTCTGTTTAATGTTAGGCAATTTGTTTAATCTCTCCATGTCTCCAGTTCCTTGGGAACACCACCACTTATATCACAGGGGGGATTAATTAGTGTGGACCAGATTCTGATCTCTATTACCCAGGGTAATTACAGAGATAACTACATTGACTTCAACTGAGTAACTTCCACATTTACCCCAGTGTAACTGAGATCAGAATGAGTCCACTGATGTTTGTAAAGAGCATTGAGGACATCAGATGAAATGTGAGATAACACAGTATTAGTAGTATTAACTCTATGAGTAGCGTTGCTCCCAAAATGCATTCAGCAATGTAACGATTCTGTAGAACACCAGGGGACTGATTTGCTCTACATTTGTAGGCCACATTTACACTCACATTAAATGCACTTACAGATTGCACTCTTAGGCCCCTATCTAATAGTGAGTGTGATTAATCTCTGGAACAATTCACCAAAGGTTATGGTGGATTCTCCATCATTGGCAATTTTTAGATCAAGACTGGATTTTTTTTTAAATAGATGTTCTGGTTCAAAAGGAATTATTCTGGGGAAGTTTTATGGCCTGTGTGATACGGGAGGTCAGACTAGATGATCAGAATGGTCCCTTCTAGCTTTGGAATCTATGAATCTAGCCATATAAGAACAGAAGAACGGCCATACTGGGTCAGATCAAAGGTCCATCTAGCTCAGTATCCTGTCTTCCGACAGGGGCCAATGCCAGGTGCTTTAGAGGGAATGAACAGAACATAGATGAAGTGATCTATCCCATGTTACTCATACGTGCACAAAACTGGGAGTTTGCACATACCCATCCAAATAATGAATGCAAAATGGGCCAGCGTTTGCAAATGCAAACATTTTGAAAAATCAGACCACAGATATATGGCTGTACAGCCATAGGGATCAGAAGTACACCACTTTGATGCTCGTACATTCCACATTCCGTGGGCTGCCAGAGTTCAGGAACAAAGTCTTCCAAAAAGTGCTCATGCATATTTCATACTTTTCATGTTGTTTTTGAGTTGTGCTTAGTAGACATTAAAAATTCAGGAGACGTTTCAAACCTGGATGACTATCACCCTAGGGTGGAGCTCATGTCTCACTGGCTGATACACTCTGTCTTCCTCCCTCTTTCCAATCCTCCCTCTCCCTCCCCCCAAAAGTGATAGCCAACTCAACAAATCACTTCTATTCATCTTCACAGTTGAGTAACGTACAGCATGTTAGTGCCTAAGCCACATTTTGGCTCAAGCGGCATCATAAAGCGGTGTGAGTCAAAAGAAAATAATTAAGAGAGAATTAAAAGAACACAATGTGTGTTCTCTTGGTAACAAGGCATTTATGCAATTCTGCAATCCATTGGGTCTTCAAAGCTGGTAACAGGAATTCCCAAAATCCCCTTGTGCTCAGAACACAAACTAGAGTTCTTAGAGGAGGCCCTTTGCATTCCTGAGCCGTAACAATGGGTTTCAAAACTTGGAGCCCGGGCCTTAAGTTTTGATCTTAGAAACAAGACACTTGAAGAGGTGAAGCTCTGGCTGGCCCCTTCAATAGGGCACTGATGTTCTTTGTGCAAGTCTCCTTTAGCATTTTCTGTCTGATTTGGCCATTATTAAGGCTGGCTAAGCCCTCTTGAGATTTTCCATGTAATCACTTGATTGTCTCTGTAATGTGGGAGTACTGGGAGAGACTTAGGAGAAGTATGGGCCGGATACAAGTGTCTGTCAATACAGAGATACTTTTATTACCAAGCCTCCTGTTGCCTAGCACTCACTTATGCTGACGCAGGCAGTAATGCAGGGAAACACATGCACACAGTGGAGCTGTGTTTATGTGAGACAAAAGCATGGATCCAGTCCCCTCTCATGCTTTGCTAGTGCAGCCTACCGGCTGACTCCAAGGCTAAGATTTTCAAAGTTGACTAGGGGATTTAGCCACACAGCTCCCATGAATTTCAATGGGAGTTAGGTGGCTAAATTTCCTAGTCATCTTTGAAAACCTCAATCCAGGTCTCCCTGTGTAGGCTGGCTATGACTGGTTTATTCCAGTGAGGGACCAAGCTCAACCCTTTGGCTAAATGCTGCACATGGAAGTCTGCAATAAATTATGTGACAGCCCCCACTTTTAATACAGAGGGGTGGCATGTAGAGACTATATGTCCCAACATATAATGTCCAATGCTCCATCTTGTTCTGTTACCAATATAATTCCTATGTAATATATATATACATATATACAAGCACACACACATTGATATTAATATCTATACCATTAATTACTCACATAGAAACACTCCTAAACACTTGACAGTTTTGTTAGAAAACTGAATAATGTAACTTGAGTACATGCCATGCCCTAGGTATTCCCTACAGCTTTCGAGATTCTTAGCTTTATCAGCATCGCTCCACTGATGTCATAGATTCATAGATTCAAGGACTGGAAGGGACCTCGAAAGGTCATCGAGTCCAGTCCCCTGCCCACATGGCAGGTCCCAATACTGTCTAGACCATCCCTGATGGTCAATAGACTTGTGCCAATGTACACCTTCAGCAGACCCTGTAACTATAGGACATTTAGGTAATACTGCAAATACTGAGGTCACCGTATTTACTAAATGAAGGTAAAGCTGGCAAATGGACTCTGTCTAGAGGGCGACCGTAGTTTGCCAAATACTTTAGGGGGAAAGACATTATGGCTGAAAATGTTCAAACGTGGATATCTACAGTGAGGCAGCTATATCTATAAATAGTCAGATGCCTGATTTCCAGAGGTGCGGAGTACATGCAACTCCCACTGAAGTCAATGGGATTTTGCAGGTGCTCAACATCTGGCTCTTTGATGTCAACGCTGACTAGCAGGAATGCTTGCGCTCTATTTCCAGGTGATCTCGGTCAGAAGGACAGCGACCTTCTTGTTAGACCTTGAGGATCAGGGGGTGAAAGGGAAAAATGAGGTGAAGCAGTCAAGAGATTCCTCTATGCACCCCTGAGGAAATAGCCATATTGAATTCTACTCATCAGGGCTTTACAGACCTCTTCTATTGGAGTGCTGTTGGTATCGTACCCACAAGCTGCTGCATAGGGGGCAGGATACATGTCTGCCCAGCCTTGGCTTGTGCAGTTCCTGGTCACATTACCTAGAAGGAAAAGAGCAGGATGATTACACAATGAGCACGTTGATTTGATGTTCAAAAAACCAGGCATCACTTGCAAATTTAAATTCCAGATCATGAATTTTACAACACTCGGGGCCAAATCCCGACCTCCTTAGTTATTATTTAGTACTGGTATTATAATAGCACCTGTAGACCGGGCCCCATTGTGTGCAGCACTGTACAGACACATAGTTTGCGACAGTCCCTGCCCCGGGAGTGTTTCTATATCTAAACAGACAAGAGAAGCATTATTGTTCCCATTTTACAGGTGGGGAGCTAAAGGAAGAGAACTATGAAATCACTTGCCCAAGATGACAGTTATGCAAGAGGTTTGTGGCATTGCACCCAGATTCCCCGTGTCCCTTCCAGGGCCTTACCCCCACACCCAGCCTTTCTGTGCTACTCAAGCAAAAGCCGTGGAAGTCAATGGGAGTGTTGTTTGAGTGAGGACTAAGGACCTCTGATTTGGCTGTAGGAAAACAACAGATGTCCACAGGTTGTCCCGCATGCTTTAACATGTGTTCTGGAGGGATAAGAATTCTTGGACACTGTAGCGCTGGCAAATCAACTAACTTGTGTATGACCCATAACAACTTAACAAGAGGCCTTGCAGTTGTAATCAAGACAATCCACTTATGTATGGGTATCAAAGATATGCTAATTAAGCTAGCAAACCCCAACTCATTCACTTTGTATTGATAAGAAGCAAGGAATAATTGCTAAGTGTATTTGTCTGTGTTTACCTATATCCTGTTAGAAGTTTACCAAGCTAATCAAATGAGCTTTTAGATGCTAAATCCTTTTCATGTCTTAATTGCCTTCACATCATGTATGCAACTGTGTTCAGTTAACCTTAAGATCAAAGATGTGAGACACCGCAGGAAATTAATAATATTACTTATATTGTCTTCAACTTATTGATCCTGTTATAATGAAGGATTGGCTAATTGTCTTATGTAAATGAGTGCAACTAGGTTACCTGTGTATGCACAGGAGATAGAAGATTAACTTCAAAGCAAGGGTCGTAGTTTAACAATGAAGGGCCACAAACTACCTGCAGTGCCTATTCTTCCTTGGAGGAAAGCCTTGCTATGACAAGTTCTTATCAGACTGTTAGGAACCTATAAATACTGAACCTTGGGCACGATCCTGCATCTCTAGTCTGCTGAACTTTAAAGAGGGAAAGTTTAAGCTGAGGGACTGAGATCTTCCAAGCAGTTACTTGGAATGCCTTAGAAAAGGCATGGAAAGACTCTAGCAGACTACATCTAAGCTGCCTTTGGATTCTAACCTTTTGGGATGTTTCCAGAGACTTTTGCAAGCCATTAGATTCACCCATCACCACTGGACTCACCCATCACCACTTGTAATGTATATAATCTTTTAACCATTTAACAATGCTCTTCTTTTATTAATAAATCTTTAGATAGTTTACTAGGGATTGTCTGGCAGTGTGATATTTGGGTAAGATTTGAAATATATATTGACCAGGGGGTAAGTGTCTGATCCTTTAGGAATGGTAGAACCTCACATCCGGTGAACTGGGTTTTCAGTAACCTCTCACTATATTAGACCAGTTTGTCTAGATAGGAACCAAGGGCTGGAATGCCTAAAGGTTTCTTGTTAACCAGTGTGGTGCTACAGAAGTTCTTTGTTACCAGTTGGTGAATCTAATTATAGAATAAACCCCCAGTTTTGGGGGATTGTCTGCCCCATTTCTTGCTGTCTGCCTGAGTGTGGCATTCTCAGGGTGGTCCATCCCAGGCATCCGGTCACAGCCACGTATAAGCAAGTCATGTGCTAGGTAATTTTTTGAGCTGGAAGAACAGGTTCAGGAAACATAAAAGCCACCCTTTCCAACCTTCACCCAAACTAGACAAAACTCAGGATGATCTTTGTTAGAGGTTCAAAATGTCTACTTAGCTCACACCTCTGTACTCCTGGGACCAGCTGGGACTGACCACAGGAGTGCCCAATGTATCCCAAGGAAAACTGCTCTCATAGTATTTCTTGCCTCATTAGCGTTTCTTGCTTTCAGATACCTAAAGCCTGTTCTACCAGGACTTCTAGCCCAGGTCTGCAGACCAAAGAGATTAACCTGTTTTGAATAAACATCAAATCCCGAATGTCAGGTCCTGACTCAGAAAGCACGGAACATCCTCAACTCACAAATAGGTGCTCATTCCCTTGCAGAACCGTCACATTGACTGAGCACAGTGGAGCAAATTATTCGTTGTCAATACTATTTGTGGCAAATGTAGCCTTTTTTCCTGTTTCTGAAGTATTCACAAACTTCTGCGGCGATATCTGCTACTCATGAGTAACAATCAAAGAAGTGATTCTTATTTATTATTCGCATTGTACTAGCACCCAGAGATCTGTGATGCACTCGTACAGATCTGAAACTGTTGTTCCCTAGCACGCTGCAGTAGCTGCACGCAGATTGCATAGCACAAAGCGTTTTCCCTGTCCTACCATCTAGAAGTCAAGCCATGTCTGCACTTTCATTACTTCCATTACTTTTTATAGGGGTTTAAATTACAACCGTAACATTTCACTTGGAGGTGAAAAACCCATGCTCAGTGGAACCATGGCAATCAGTATGCAATGCTCTCTCTCTCCCTCTGAATGACATGTATATTTCAGTGCTTCTTCATATGTGCAGCGTGGGCATAGACTCTATCATCTGAATTACTGGGTCTTGTATTTCCTGCTAAAGGCAATCCCCTCCATTTAGAGTGTTTTTCGGTGGTTTCAATTTCTTGTTTCTTATCTGATTAGCTGAAGCAACTGATGCTTATTTCGTTCTGTGGTTTGCTTGGATCATTTCCCCACACCTTTGAGTTTCTAATTTCTTGTTCATTTGTTAGTCTTGAACAGTAGCACCTGGCTCTCAGACAACGCTTCCCATCAAAAGGATCTTAGAGCACTTTACTGAGAAATCTTTTTTCCATTTTAACAGAGAAGGAAACTGAGGCAGAGTAGCACTATCTAGCACAATGGGGCTGCAAGCTAAGATGGGGCCTTTAGTTGAGGGGGAGGGATCGCTCAGTGGTTTGAGCATTGGCCTGCTAAACCCAGGGCTGTGAATTCAATCCTTGAGGGGGCCACTTAGGAATCTGGGGCAAAATCAGTATTTGGTCCTGCTAGTGAAGGCAGGGGGCTGGACTCAATGACCTTTCAGGGTCCCTTCCAGTTCTATGAGATAGGTATATCTCCATATATATATATATATATTTATGTTAGCAACAAGAAGAAAGTTAAGGAAAGTGTGGGCCCCTTACTAAATGAGGGAGGCAACCTAGTGACCGAGGATGTGGAAAAAGCTAATATACTCAATGCTTTTTTTGCCTCTGTCTTCACGAACAAGGTTAGCTCCCAGACTGCTGCACTGGGCAGCACAGTATGGGGAGAAGGTGACCAGCCCTCTGTGGAGAAAGAAGTGGTTCGGGACTATTTAGAAAAACTGGACGAGCACAAGTCTATGGGGCCGGATGCGCTGCATCCGAGGGTGCTAAAGGAGTTGGCGGATGTGATTGCAGAGCCTTTGGCCATTATCTTTGAAAACTCATGGCGATCGGGGGAGGTCCCGGATGACTGGAAAAAGGCTAATGTAGTGCTCATCTTTAAAAAAGGGAAGAACGAGTATCCGGGGAACTACAGGACAGTCAGCCTCACCTCAGTCCCTGGAAAAATCATGGAGCAGGTCCTCAAGGAATCAATTCTGAAGCACTTGGAGGAGAGGAAAGTGGATTCACCAAGGGCAAGTCATGCCTGACTAACCTAACTGCATTCTATGAGGAGATAACTGACTCTGTGGATGAGGGGAAAGCGGTGGATGTGTTATTCCTTGACTTTAGCAAAGCTTTTGATACGGTCTCCCACAGTATTCTTGCCACCAAGTTAAAGAAGTATGGGCTGGATGAATGGACTATAAAGTGGATAGAAAGCTGGCTATATCGTCGGGCTCAACAGGTAGTGATCAACGGCTCCATGTCTAGTTGGCAGCTGGTTTCAAGCGGAGTGCCCCAAGGGTCGGTCCTGGGGCCGGTTTTGTTCAATATCTTCATTAATGATCTGGAGGATGGCGTGGACTGCACTCTCAGCAAGTTTGCAGATGACACTAAACTGGGAGGAGTGGTAGATACGCTGGAGGGTAGGGATAGGATACAGAGGGACCTAGACAAATTAGAGGATTGGGCCAAAAGAAACCTGATGAGGTTCAACAAGGACAAGTGCAGAGTCCTGCACTTAGGACGGAAAAATCCCATTCACTGTTACAGACTAGGGACCAAATGGCTAGGCAGCAGTTCTGCAGAAAAGGACCTAGGGGTTACGGTGGACGAGAAGCTGGATCTGAGTCAACAGTGTGCCCTTGTTGCCAAGAAGGCTAACGGCATTTTGGGCTGTATAAGTAGGGGCATTGCCAGCAGATCGAGGGACATGATCGTTCCTCTCTATTCGACATTGGTGAGGCCTCACCTGGAGTAGTGTGTCCAGTTTTGGGCCCCACACTACAAGAAGGATGTGGAAAGGTTGGAGGGAGTCCAGCGGAGGGCAACAAAAATGATTAGGGGGCTGGAGTACATGACTTATGAGGAGAGGCTGAGGGAACTGGGATTGTTTAGTCTGCAGAAGAGAAGAATGAGGGGGGATTTGATAGCTGCTTTCAACTACCTGAAAGGGGGTTCCAAAGAGGATGGAGCTCGGCTGTTCTCAGTGGTGGCAGATGACAGAACAAGGAGTAATGGTCTCAAGTTGCAGTGGGGGAGGTTTAGGTTGGATATTAGGAAAAACTTTTTCACTAGGAGGGTGGTGAAGCACTGGAATGGGTTACCTAGGGAGGTGGTGGAATCTCCTTCCTTAGAGGTTTTTAAGGTCAGGCTTGACAAAGCCCTGGCTGGGATGATTTAGTTGGGATTAAGTCCTGCTTTGAGCAGGGGGTTGGACTGGATGACCTCCTGAGGTCCCTTCCAACCCTG